CGGATGAGCATCCGATTGAAGAGACAAGCGGTGAGGTCTGTGGTGCACGAAGAGGAGGCGACGCACGTGGTGCGGTCAGGAGGGCCCAAACAATCGGCCCCGAGAGGGTGCCGCCGCACCAGGGACTAAATGCTGCGGCAAGGCTACACCTGGGCAAAGCAAAGCAGCTTCTGGGCGAGCTCTTGCCTAGCAACCCGGGGGCGAGCCTCACGGCCTTCCAGATGCAGGGACACTACAAGTTCAGGCACGACCTATACCACAAAGCTCAGCAGGGTGAAGCCTACGACATCCGGGGCCAACACATCGACAGCCCGCTCCTCACGGATAACGTCGGTCGTTGGATATGGTCACTGGTTGGTGCCCTGCTGACGCATGACAAGCTCGGACAGGTGCAGAGCTGGCAAACAGGAGGAGATCTCGTTGAATCCTGGATGCACTCCCTATGGACGACACAGGGTCAGGCTGAGCTAGACATCCTTGCCGGCGTTTCCCGCCTCGCCAGCCACTTGCACGATGGGCTGCAAAATTTGCCCCGAGCACTGTATCTCCAGCTGCAGTGGAAGACGCATTGGCCAGAGTTTTTTCAGGCGCTCATGCCATACCTGTATAGGCCTGACTGCATTGACGGCCCCCTAGAGGCGAGCCGATTGTGCAACGCAATGGAGTCAATGCCAGCTGTTCAATACATGTCGAGAGTGCCTGCACTGCATGGACTGTGTGACACATGGATCACCCACCCAACGTGCCCATTGCAAGACACTTGCATTCCCACAGTGCGATCTTGCACCCAGGTCAAAGCTGCCTCCGAGCTACATCCAATTTGTGCAGACACTGCCTGGACATCTTCGGACTCGCAGGCGCGAACCCTTGAGTGGAGACCTCTAGGACACGAGCACCACACAAGACCGAGTGTACCCTGCCGTACGTTGTCAGCGCCCATCTCACTTAGGCAATCAATTGACCATAGAAGGTTGCATAAAGAGGCCCCTAGACCCGTTGGGAACAGGAAGAGGCGACACGACACCAGCACAGTCGTTTCACCCTCGGCCCCGTCAGCCCGAAGCAGGGATAATGCAAGGATTAGGCTCAAGATGGCAAACAGCCCGCGCAGCCCGCGCAGACACCCTCGGGCACGGGTTCGGCCCAATGGTGAGAGGAGACGGACACGCACTGAGCTAGCCAGACGTCGGGAACAACGGGAACTAAGAGAGACCAGGGAGGCTGGCGCAGGCAGCCGCGGGAGCCGATCAGCCGGCACCACTCAGCGGGACGCCCCAGCACAGAGGGTTCCGGCTGAGGGAACCCGGGAACACGACACACCAGAGGGGTGGCCGTGGACACTCCTGGATGCGAATTCCGTCAGCGCTCCCACTCCTTCGGCCCAGCGTGCCCAGCCGGCCTCATCCTCCAGCACTGCAGTCACCGAGCCTCAGGACCATGAACAGGACCACGACAAGGGCAGCGCGCAGGACAGGAGCCGTACCCCGGCCCGCAGATCAGCCCGAGACCCGACAATCACCTCCAGGACGGATGCAACACCAGACTGTCCTACACGACGTGATGACATTAACGGTGTCCTCACTGAGATCTTGCGAGAACCGGGTCATCGCTATGGGGTGCAGGTCAGACAAGACGGCTTTGCCTCGGCCATCGAGCTAGCCTGCAGCCCTCTTCTGCAGGCACATGGCATCAGTTTAGGGGACATCCGCTGGATTGTTGATGTCAGGGACAGACAGCGCTATCAATGGTGCGACATCCAGGGCTCCTCCCACATACGCCTAATCATGAGCCGGGACCTGCCGACCGACATGGGAGGCACACCCCATTTCTCCTCTCCGACGGCCCCCACAGGGAGTGCCGAAAAGGTGATTGATTCCTTCGTGGCTGGTGAAAATCAGGGCGCAGGTCTAGGAGTTGGACAGCCCAGGAATAACACCAGGTCCCAGAATAGCAGCGATCAGCAGATTAGATATGCTGCACAGAAAAGGCACTATCCGACAACTCATATGCGTGAAAGCCACCACATGCACACCCTCTTAGCCAAATCCCAGCCTATCTCCACATCAGTGCCCCCGGAGCATGTCAACCGCCCGCAGGCAGTTATCCTACATGCACGGCCCTGCTGGGGAGCCGGATCTGCCAACCCCTCAGTGGAAGACGATCAGTGGTCGACTGAATCTAGGAGATCTAAGGAGGATTGGCCTAGGGGGATTTTGCTGGGGTGGTGCACTGCGTTTTCACTACTGATCCGATATAGGAACAAACCTAAGCCGGGCAATAAGTGGATAACGCATAGACGCACTAAAGGAAAGTACAAACGCAGACCCCTCCATACACCCCTCCGAATTCACGACGTTTACCAGAAATTCCTCAGTCACCGCGGCGGTCCTAAGTCCGCCGGCCCTTCCTACTACAATAAGAAGAAGACTACATTCCAAGGCAAGGGTGAGGTGAAGGTTTCCCCCGGGCCCCCCACGGGGGAAGGACCTACACATGCTATCAACGCATGCACTTCCGCAGGTGGGAAGATGGCGGGGGGCGCGCCTTTATGCCGGACACCAAAACTTATGCATATTTGTTTCTGGTTGTACCTCAGTTGCGTAATCTGCTGCATGGACTTCCATGGAAGCAGGAACACACAAGCTGCAGTGCATGAGCTAAGTGCCATGACGGCAGCCATCCCTTGCCCTGTAAAGGTACCACCATCGGCCTTTAGTGCAGCTCTTCGCTGCCAATTAGCAGTCAGTAGGAGCTTATGCTATGGTGGCCATCAAGACCAGCGGCCCTTGAGGTCCCACAACCCATCCACCGACATCGTCTTCCCAGAGGGGCAGCTGAGCTCCTGGAATGGAGCGAAACGGAGGATGAGACAGTGGGGCCCCCGGCCTCAAAGAGGCAACGGACAGAAAAGACGGCCTCTGGTGATGGCCAGCAGCAGATTGACGGCCCCACGAAGGAGCCGAGGACACCTCAGCAATGGGTGCTCCGTGCAGCGGACACCAGCCAGATCATCGACCTGGACGATTACAAGGAGCCGAAGAAGGCATCAGAGTCCCCCGCAGCGCCGGCACTCACATCCAATCAGATGTGCAAGGCCTTCTTACATGACCTCAGGGCACTACGACCGGCAGACCAAAGACGGCGAGCCCATAAGCTCCTCCAGCACTGGGAGGCAATGGAAGAACGACTTGGAAATGACTAAAAGGCTGAGAGAAGGGATGAGCCTCGGCCCCGTGTGGGAGCCGCAAAATTGTTTAATGGATGTGCCGGGCAGGACGCCGTTTTTCCACAGTGCATGTGCATTCCTGCTTAGCACATGTCTCCTAGGCGTGGCGAGACACAGCTTCATGCATCGAGCCAAAGAGACACCTCTTACGCGACACTCACGACACAATCGACTAACAGCGCCACATTGTACTATATGGAGCCGCGCGCTGAGGCTGCTGTGCGTCCTATGCCTTGGGCAGGGAGCTTGGTCTGCACCTGCCACAGATCACATTGCCGATCATGCGCACACCCTACCGGGATCCAAGAAGTGCAGGGAGGGGCTTGGTACCGAGGGAAATGGTGCACGCGGTCACAACTTCCTGATGTTCAGGTGCGAGCAGCGCAGAGAGTGCCGCTGGATCAGTATAAGAGAAGAGGCGCGCGGGGAGGTAGACACGGGATCGCAAGGATTCATGTCCTGTCCTTGAACGTCGGAGCTCTATCGGTCCTCATGTGGCAAGAACTCCGAGAGCTGCTCAAACAGCAAAGTACCAAATACGACTTCATATGCCTGCAGGAGACGCACCTTAGCACAAGCTCCACATACAAACTGGAAGGATGGTTTGCGGTACACTCAGGAACAGCTGCCAGAGCTGATGGTGTTCTCACCTTGGTGCATCCGAGACACCAAGCAACACACATCCGGCATGAGGAGGTGATTCCAGGTAGAGTCCTGCGCACACAGATCTCGACAGCACAAGGGAGGGTCGAATTGGTTAATTGCTATCAGCACCCACATAATTTTGCACAACGCCCCGAAGTCCTGCGGGAAAAGCGGGCTAAACTCCTTGAAAAACTAAGTGGTTGTGTTAGGGGCCTCTCCATGCGCAACACGGTGGTTGTGGTGGGGGATTTCCAGGCTGAAGTCACTCCACATGCTCCATTAGTCGGTCGTTCAACCTGCCAGACCCCATTCCATGTCGGGGCAGACGCACTGGACCCCGGGGACCTCAACACGTTCCTGGATAATCTCGGTCTGGTTGCCCTTAACACATGGCGCGGTCCAGCCACGCCTACCCAGTATAATTTAACGGGGGGGCGGGGGGCGGGAAAGAGCCAAATCGACTTCATCCTGACCAGAGCCATATCTGCTGATTGGGAAGCCAAGAATGTCAAAGTGACAGCCCCACCAATTGGCAACTGGAGACGGCACGTCGGTCACCTGGCGCTTCACACAACCATCCGTCTCATGAACCATCACATGCTCCCCAAAAGATCCATGAACCCCCAGCTGGACAGGCGCAAACTGGATCACGAGATACGTAATCGGGAGGAGGGGGGCACATACCCTGCAGCTTGCCCTTGCGACAGCCCTCAATGCCCTCACGGACCCCACCCCAGCCAACATCAACTCCACCCTTCTTGACACTTGTCAGAACCACTACCCATTGGAGAGGAAACCCAACCCTCCACCCAACCCCATTGTGCAGCACTTATGGCAGAAGCGAAGGGAGGCCGAGTACGTCACCGTACGGCCCCCAAGGGAGCCGGAAAGGGAAAACCTGGAAAACAACCCCTGGTGGTACTTCCTATCCAGACTCTTTCGGGGATGGAAAGCTACGGTTGCCCTGCGGAAGCAAGTCAAAATTGCTGAGAAACAATGCAAGGAAAAGAAGCGCGAAGACATCCTCCAACTACTCCAAAAGGCTGAGCAGGCAGCTGATAACGGGGACCAACGAACCGTGTATCAGGTTGTTCGGAGATTAGCACCCTGGCAACCTAGACAACGGGTCATGATTAAGGACCCAAGCGGCCGACTCCTCACTCTCCAACAGGAGCACGAAGCCCTGGTGAGCTATAGCGAAGATCTTTTCGCTCCGGACACAGAGCAGCCGGCTAGGGAGGAGCAAGGTCTTAACTTAGTTTTCACGGTTGAGGAAATTGAATCGCAGCTGAAGTCCATCAAGATTGGGAAAGCCGTCCCTCCAGGAGTAGCTCCTGCTTCTGCATGGCGATTAGCGGCCCCACAGGTTGCGAGGCTGCTGAAGATGGCTTTTGACCAGCATTCTCACCAACCAGGGATAACACTCCCTCTTCAGTGGACCGACGCGTGGATAGTCTGGCTCCCAAAGCCGGGCAAAGATCCATGCGAGCCCTCATCGCTCAGGCCAATAGGCCTCATGTCTCCTGATGCCAAAGCCCTTGCAGGGCTTCTCAAAATCAGACTCTATGAGCTGATTCGGCCCCAGCTGCGCAGGGTGCCGCAGTTTGCCTATCAGCCGGGGAGGGATTTGTACGATGCCTTGGCTAGAGTGCAGGTGTGGATTGACAACTTCAAAAGGTGTTACGGACGAGGAAACAGCAGCAAATTCGCCCAAAGGGACAGGGAGGAAAATCCGGACAACACAAAACTCTGCGTCGGGGGAGCCATCCTCAGCCTTGACCTCAAACAGGCATTTGACAGAGTTAACCGTCAAGCACTAGCCCAGTCGCTAAAAGACCTTGGTGCGGGAGAAAGCATGACGGCCGAGATTATCTCCCTCCTAGACACATCACGGTATCACATCATCAGTGATCAGGAACAAAGCACAGTGGGTACAACGCGAGGCATCCGCCAAGGATGTAAGATCGCCCCCATGCTTTGGGTGGCAATATCGACCCTTTTGCTGGAGCGGCTGGGGGATGCCCTCTCAGGCCCCCACAGACAAGCAACCACTTTTGCCGACGATACCTTAGTGCAATGGCTCATTGAAAACTCCACGGACATTGCCCAACTTAGCAGTTTCATTAACAAACTTCTGGGGGTCATGCAGGACATGGGGCTTTTGGTTAACCTTACCAAAACAGTCCTGCTCCTAAAAGTTTGCGGACCTGGGGCCAGACGTGCGCTCAAGGACTATGTAGTGTATAAGGACGGGAAAAAATGGTGGCGGGCGCGACACCCTGATGGGAGCGAGGCGCTAATCCCCATTGCCTGCTACACTACATACCTAGGGACGCACCTTTCCCTCCAAACGGAAGCGCACAAAGTGGTAGGCTACCGTATTGCTGAAGCTAACAAGAGAACTGGCAAAATCAAAAAGGCGACCAGGTCCAGGAAAGTCTTCGGCCTAGCGCATAGAGTACGCATCTGGCAGGCCTGTGCTGCATCGAGTGCTACATTTGGCCTCATCGCTTTCGCGCCCTCTGCCAAGGCGGTGGCACTCCTCAGGGGTTGGTTCTATCGTCAACTAAGAGCCGTTGCGGACTCACCTGCCCACATCTCGCATGAGACTAACAAGCAACTTCGGCAAAGATTAGGGGTTCAGGATCCTATAGATGCCACTGTGCAACGGATTCGGCATAAACTTGATAAGCTTCGGGTTGCAGAAGCGAGCATCATCAACCAGCCACAAACTCTCCAGTATTGGGAAAGTATGCTACAGCAATACCTCATCTTCCACACAGAAAACATCGATGCGGAGCCCGACTCCAGGCTGATCCCGGTGCCCGCGCAACAATCGCAGCCGGTGGCCTGCCCAGTCTGCGGAGTGTACTTCCCATCAAACAAAACAATGAGACAGCACAGGGGGAGGGTCCACAAGGTGTATGTGAGCTCGCGCCGGCATGATGATGACATGTATCAACAACAGGATCACTCTGCTGGTGGCATGCCACAGTGCATTCATTGTGGTCTTAGGACGGGTTCATGGGACGCGCTGAGGAATCACATCCTCAACAACGTTTGTGGCTGGCAGATGCCACCCGGCCCCACTCGGGAGGCCGAACAGCAGGACATCGCTACCCCCCCTAGGGGTCAATCAGACAGGGACCCACGCATACATGAAGACACCCATCCCTCGAGCACCATCGCTCGGCAACAACCGGTACAGCCTGCCCAGAAGGAGCCGACGATCCCGTTGCTGCGTAGACCTGAAGTGGCGAAGCAACTACTGCAGTCGGACTCTAAGCTGCAGATCGTCAGAGATCACGCTAGGAGTCTCATCCAGCACTGTGGCTTCTGCGGACAATGGATCGCTAAGGGAGGCTCGGTTAAGGAGCACATCAAGAGAATGCACTCACACATATGGCATGCAAGTATTGGCAACCTGGACACTGAGTGTGCGATGTATAAATCTCACCTCACCCGTGACAGTGTCTGCGACCTTTGTGAGGTCATGGTGTACCAACCCGACAGGCACACTCGGAGCTGCACGGTTATTTTCCAAACAGCCTTAGCCACAGCATGGCATAAGGTTGGGGCGCCGGACACGGCCCCCGTCGCCAGGGATGTGAGAACTTGCATCACTGATGAGTTCCTTGCCAGGCAACTCAACCCCGACGTGCACAGGCAGGGCAAAATGGAGGCAGGAGACAGCGAGGTCATTGACATGCTGACACGGCACTGTGGACTTTGCCTTCAGCGATTGACGAATCAACAGGACTGGAGGCGACACTGTGCCAACCAGCACAAGGAGGCCTGGAAGCGAGCTGAGGGATTTGCAGAGCTGGTACACGGTTTACCGCTAGCTAGACCATGCCGGCATTGCGGAGTAACCTACCACAAAACCCCGAGGGTTCACGCTCAAAAGTGCCTGCCACTCTTGCAAATCGCATTTCTGTCGCGCCATGGACGACCAAGCACTGCAGGAAGTGGCGAACATGTGGGGGCAGCACAGCCCGATGGAACTCATAATGAGGGACAGGCCGACCGAGGAGGAGAACGGCGAGGGGCGGAAATTCCGTCGCAGGGAGGGCAAAGGCCCAGGCAAAGCAAAAAGGGAGCCGATCCCGGCCCCAAACCAGCAGCTGGCAAAGCAAGTGCAAGTTCTAACCAAGTATGTCAGCCAGCACGCCATGGCGCTGCAACTACTGGAGGCCGACAGAAGTTGGGTCCTCTGGATGGACTCTGGAGCGATGGGCATCATACCTCAGCTGGTCAAGACCACGGCCACCTGGAAGGAGAGCCGAGAGCAGAACAAGTGCACCTGCAGCCTTCGCCAGGCTCTCCTGGGATCGCTCCTGCTGGAGCTGCAAGCTCGGCTTGCGAAGATGGAGGGAGACAAGGCGGCACAGGCGCCACTCATTCAGAGGAAGATGCTCGTAGCAGAACCAATGGCGTGGTCGTACACGAGATGGAATCCGGACAAGAAACTCCAGGAGCCCCGAGAGGGCAACCTGCTCTCTCATCAGGATGCAAAGGAGGCAGTTCAACTGCTGATGCGAGAGGCCGTCAAGCCCAACGTCATCCAGCGCTTCCATGCTCTAGGCGGAGTCAAGGAGGACAGGCCAGGAGCCACGACGTTCGTGCTGACAGTCTCCCTGGACGCCGATGCACGGCCCAACATCAACAAGGCACTCCATGCTCTCACGGAGACAGCGGCCACCGCGCTCATAGGAGCCAGGATCCGCCCGGAAAGAAGCCACAAGCCACTTCCAGAGGACCTACAGCGGGCCATCGACGCGACAAGACGGCAATGAAGCCTTCTTGCCAAAGTATTTTTACTAGTAAGGGCAAGTTGGGTTTGGAGTGTCTGCCTGAGGGTGTGTTGCACCGTGATCTTGCAAAGAATATTTACCCCGGGAAGCCGCCTCACGGCCCCAACATCCCCACCAAGCCTAGCGACAGTGGTCCTGGTTCAAGGAGATCACGGAGCATAGGGGAATGGCTGAAGGGGACAGGTCAGCCAGCACAGGGGGCGGACGCTAAATCCCATAGCCAGGAGAAGGCAGAGGGCCAGGGGGAAAAAGTCACTGATGCACCATGCCCTATGCAACATCAGCATTGTGTGCTTGAAAACCCATCCAACCTTTGCTACCTCAACTCCATGATCCAAGCACTGCTGCACCTGTTTGGTCAAGTCAGGCCGCCGGACAAAGCGGGCTTTGGATGTCTACGCCCCATGCTTAATGCGCTGACCAAATGTGTCAAGCCCCAGCAACTAAGCAGGAGAAAGGACTGCATGCAGCTTCTGCAAGGCTGGCGTGACCTCCACCAGCAGCATGATGCTGCAGAACTTCTGCAACATCTAACAAAGGACGGGGTCCCTAGGATCTTGCTGGGCAGATGGGAGTCCAGGGTTTCCGGAGTTAGTGAACGGGAGCCGGCCACAGTCCGGGCTTGGAACACGGCGGTGCCTCTGATCCCTCTACCATGCACAGGTCAGACCACGACACAGCTGGCGCTGAACTCCTGGAGCGTACAGCCGGGACCTCGCAACGAGGAATATGTGACCGCACTGGCTGACGTTCCCGTGATACTCAGTATACAGCTTCTACGTTTTCAGGAAAAGGGTGGTCGTATTAAGAAGGTCCGCAGCCCGGTCACCATCAATCCAGTCATCAGAGTTCCCTTTTTCAAAGACGGACATACCCAACAACTCAGCACGAGCGAATATCGGCTCATCTCTGGAGTTGTACACACAGGGGACACCCCACACACTGGGCACTATAGATGCTTCTGTCTCAAACCACAGAGCAGTTCTTCTTCTGAGGTGGAGACGATTGCTGAGGCCTTTGACAAAGGAGCCGCAACTTCGGCCCTACAGATGGTAGATGATGGTAGGATGCCATTCAACGCCACGGCTAGGGATGTACAGCATATAAATCGCAACTGGTACATACTTTTCTTTTCGCGGCAATAGTCCGCGCCGCCATGGACGGCGGTAGGTGTCCGGCGCGCCATAATGGCCACACCAACTGTGTGTGTTGCGCCCGCCGAATCACTGACTCAGTGAACGCGTTAGAATGAAAAAAGACCACCCGTCAAGACTGGTGACCCAGCAATTGCTGTGGGGTGGCACAAGTGTTCCGTGTTCCGATGTGTCCGAGCACCTGGATGCCATCTGCCTTGGTCTTTCGGCTAAGAAGGGGGCTTGAGGTTCTATAGGGTATGGTGAGACACATGTGCAATGTATGTGCACCGTGGTGTGTGCACCGGCACATGCGAGAATGCGATCATTGACTCGCCCACTGATGAAAAATGTGTGGGACACGCAGCTTCTGTATGTGCTCTGCGATTCTTCAGGTTTTGCTTTGGGCTTTTGGGTTCAAACCCAGTTTGGAACAAGCGGTAAGCTTACTGTTCGCGAGCGAATGGTGTTTTACCGCTTGCTTCCATATCGGCTCTTCGAAAAACGGTGTGGGCCGTTTGTTCGTGGTTTGCAACCCAAAAGGTTTCTGTTGCTTGTCATGCTTGATTTTACGAACAGCAATTTGCGGAACTTCGCTTGCTGGAGATCTGTGTTTGCAGCGCTGGCTCCACAGCTCAGTGCAAAAATTTTGACCCACCCGGCCCACCCAGGGCATGACAAAACAGGGCCCGCTGATGCGGCTTCAACTCCCTGTATGCTATCGGCATTCACACTAGTGTTGCATGTACAGTTGCCTCGCCCTCAAAGGGGGCTTGAGGTTCTATAGGGTATGGTGAGACACATGTGCAATGTATGTGCACCGTGGTGTGTGCACCGGCACATGCGAGAATGCGATCATTGACTCGCCCACTGATGAAAAATGTGTGGGACACGCAGCTTCTGTATGTGCTCTGCGATTCTTCAGGTTTTGCTTTGGGCTTTTGGGTTCAAACCCAGTTTGGAACAAGCGGTAAGAGCTTGGGTTGGTTGTTGCGAGTGACTCAGCCGAGTCAAGTAGACCCAATGTGTTGCCACCACCTCCTGAAGAACCTGATGACATGGATCAGGCTGAGCCACAACAGCATGCGGCAGCCGCGCCCGACCAAGGGGCCGAGCTGCAAGTTGATGCAGCCCTGCGTGACGAGGTCGCAGCAGATGACGATGGGACACTCGTCGTTGACGGTGTGTCATTGAGCCTTGATTCGACTCTTGCTGTTTTGAGGCAAGGTGCCCAGTCGCTCTGGCTTGGTCGTTCTGGTGGTAAGTCCACTGTGTGAAGCGTATCCGAGATCATTTGACTCGTCAGGACTTGGTTGCTGCCCATCAGGCCAGTCAGCAGCAGCAAGGAGCGAGTGCCGGTGGAGCAAAAGCATGTCACTGCACCGAGTGATGATGTATACCGTCAGCGCTGCCTTACTCACACACCTTACAAGGAGTGGTGTGCGCGCTGCGTAGCTTTTCGTGCAAGGTCGGACAGGCGTGAGGTCAAGGTTGACGACCGCCGGTCAAGTTCCGTCCTTTGCTTCGATTTTGCATACACCAGCAACGTTGATGGGGGTGAAAAGCTGTGTTGCTTGGTTGCGCACGATACGCAGACCAAGTGGTTGCAAGCGTGGCCGGTGCCAAACAAGGGCAGGACCGCTTGTCGCAACGACATGGCAGTTGAACTGACCAAGCTGCTGTCGTACCTTGGACACAGGAAAATCACCTTGCGTGCTGACCCCGAGGCGTCATGCGCTGCACTTGCAAATGCTGTCCAGGCCCTCAGGCACCATATCGGTATGGAAACTCATATCGAACAAACCCTGTTGGAGAGCACCAAGGCAACCACGCTGAGGGTGCCATCGAACGCATCCGACAGCTAACAGGGACCATGTTGGCTGAGCTTGAGGATCGATTGAAAATCCCTCAAGACGTTCGACCCGCTGCATCACTGGTGCTGGCGCCACGCCAGCTGGACTCTCCAGCGTTTGGTGTCACGCAAAACCTAACGCCGTGGGAGAGAGTGCATGCGTCCCCATATGGAGGCAAACTTGTCCGTTTCGCAGAGTGCGTCCTGGCACGCGTGAACACTGCCACAAAGGGCAAACCACGGTGGCTTCGGGCCATGTGGCTGGGCAAATCAGATGTTTCTGATTGTCACCTTGTTTGCACTTCATCGGGTCGTCTTGCGGTTGCTGCTAGATCTGTCCGACGCACCACATGTGAGTATGATCCCATCCTTGTGACAGCACTGCGAGACACACCTGACAAGCATGTGTCACACGCGGAGCAAGCCGAAATCAACTTCAACCAAAGCCTGTTATAGGGGAAGGTCCGGGCAGTGGGAGTGAGGTTGCAGCCGGCGACCCACCAACTGAGAATGAAGATGTCGTGGACAATCCACATGACATTGCACTTGCCCCTTCTTCTGTGAGATTGCCTGCTGAAGGCATTCCTGCAACGCCCGAGCGTCTACCACTAGGTATTCGGTCAGGCGGTTGCCGGCCAATTCTACAACTTGTACAGGAACCGTCACAACCTTCTAGACTTCCATCACGTGCAGCACCTCCCGAGAGTGCTTTGGCGTGCACTTGCCGCACGGCAGCCTGAGCACTGGACAGCGCTGTCCTTAGATGTCGCAGATGCCTACCTCACGGTTCCGCAAGCCGTGGACACCATAGTATCCATTTGGGTGCGAGGTGAGCAAAGGCACTAAGACTCCTTAGAAACCTTCCAGGTCAGCGTTCAGGTGCCAAGGACTGGTTTGAAGCATTCCAGTCATACTTGATAGAGAAGCTGGCCATTGAACCGCTTGTAGAATCTCCAGCCCTGTTCTTCATTCTTGGGAGTTCAGATGAGGGCTATGGCGGGTGAGGCGGGAGTCTGTGCCATGTTGACGACCTTTTCGCAGTTGGAGCCGATCCAACAATGCAAAGGCTTAGCGGGTGTGTGAAGGCCAAGTACCGATGCACGATTTCCTTCTTGAAGCAGCCTGCTGATTAGATCAACTTCTTGAAGAGGAAGCACAAGTGGGCATTGAATGACGTGCTCGCCATCATGCCCAACCCGAAGCATGTAGAAGGTCTTGCTGTGTTGCTCGGTGTTTGTGCGCAACGTCCTAAGGACAGTCCCTTGCCCACAGGCGGAATCCTTCCGCTGTGGACACAGCTGGCACCCCTTGACGATGTCAGGTCAGGGATCTACAGAAAGTGCATCGGGGTACTTCTGTATGTGTCCAGCGATTTAGTTTGGCAGAAAGACGCTAAGCAGCATGTGTGGGAAGCCCAACAAAGGGGCATGGCGATGCCTAAGGCATCTGGTGAACTATATGTTCTTCCACGAGAATCACATCACTTGCCTTCGGACTGAGGGCAAAGGCATTGGCCTAATCGTCCGTGATGACACTCACACTTTACAGGTGTTCGCTGATGCTGATTGGTCAGGGAACCGATCGACAAGAAAGAGCACCAGTGCAGGATGCATTGCCCTTGACAGCATGGTGGTTCATACTCATACATTTTCAAGAAGCCAAAGCTGCGTAAGCCTAAGCAGTGGTGAAAGTGAATATATTGCATGCGTGAGCGCAACATGCGACGGCGTCTTCCTTCGTAGTGCCCTTCAACACATCTTACGCACCGATGTGTCCATGCATTTGTTCACAGATTCAAGCGCAGCTCGCGGCATTATGGGCAGACAGGGATGTGGACGTCTCCGTCACATTTCTGGTCGCTGAAGAAGCCTGAGGAAGGAGACCCAGAGGAGAAGGAAAAAGGCCCTTACTCGATGGAGAACTACAAGGCTCAGGAAAGGACAGCGCCAGGAAGTCCTACGTCTTCTTCCAGTTCAAGAACGAGTTCTACCAGTGGAAGTGGAACAGCGATTCGATGTGCTGGTACTTCTTTGACAGCCAAGGAAAAGAACCACCACGCGGTCGATGGATCAAGCAGCGTCGCGACAAGAACGGCAAGAAGATCTGTGACGAGCAGCTCAAGCAAATGGAGGAGTTCTACAAGAAGGAGAAAGGAAAAAAAGGAAAAGAAGGAAGAACAGGAAGCAGCAGCAGCAAGGACGACACCGGCGTCTTCTACGAGATCGCAAAGTTTTCGTGAAGAAGGAAAGAAGAAAAGAAGAAGCGTGAGGCTGCAAAGCCAAAGGAAAGTGAGCTTGGCAGTGAGAGCGGAAAGGATGGTGTATCCGTCCTAGCTCTAGGAACACTTTTGTTTTTGCAGTTTCAGGAGATGATCCAAATAAAGAGAGAGTATGTTTTTGTATGCCTGCGCCGACTTGTGTTGGTTCCGAAACTTCTCAATGTCAGCAAGTTGTTGCTCACTCCACTGCCGCTTGAAGTCTCGACACTGCTGTCCGAGACGTTTTTGTAACCTCTGTACCTTCATGCTCGCACGCCAGAACTGCAAAATACGGGACAAGTTGAGTCGATTCTTGAGACCTTGCTTGTGCCTTCCACAAGTCGCGAACTTGTACCCGCACAGAATCTTCCTTCCATATGCTGCTTCCATGCTCTCACCAGGATTGAATCGATTGTACTCGGAGTCGGCTCCTCACGAGAGTCGAGGCTGCGAATCAAGCGCACGCGTGACCTGATGTCCGCTGAGCTGCTGAGATCCCGCGCCTTTCTATGATTGTCTGGGTCTCACCCAGTGGCCTGAACAGGAGTTCTCCACATTGCAACTGGAAAATCGTAGAGCAGTTTCGGATTTGTCCGTTTTGATCTGTCAAATGTAGCCGCGCCCTCGCCCTCAAGTGTTCAGAGCAAGCAAATCAAAATTCTAGAGAAGTTAAAAGATCTGTGCGTCCGCGTGGCCTGGAGGATTGTCAGTGGGAACCTGCGACCCCACCAAACCTGCCAGAGGTTCCAGCTCGCCAGCGACTATGACTGTGTTGCGCAGCGGGAGGCTTCGCATTGTGGAGTGTAATTTGTTCTAGACCTGCGCTCGTCGTTGTAGAGCTGCCGTGTATCTCCCCTGGTCGCCGGACTTGTTATTTTCTGAATGCACCATGCATTTTGGTACACATGTACAAAATCAAGCGAGCGTGCACGAGTGTGCCCGGAATAATTGTGCTCCAACGAATGTCTGAGGCTTTGGCAAAAATCGCATGAAATCAAAAGCAGCAATCCACCACTTCTCGCCTTTGTAGTTGCACTGCACAGTGGCAAACCAAGATTTGTTGTTTTCCAGCATCAACCCATGTCATGAACTCCGCATGGAGAGAGCCCAGAGGCATTCCAAGTGAAAGTTCGCGCTCTTGCCAGTCACTTTGCGCCGTACATGGCACAATATCCAATCACCAGGAAGTACTGAGCTTCCCAAACTCGGAACATAGCCCAGCTGTGCCTTATCCCAAAACCCAACAAAAGCAGCAAATCCAAGTGATCTGAGGCCGAAGGGGAAGAGCTTGAACATCTCCATCTCCATCTTCTCGATCTCCTGGGACGTCGGCTCCATGCCTGTGGATTATGTTCTAGGAACAGACTTTGTCACTACACGCAACATGCAGCTGCATGTCTTGATGGGGCCTGAGTCTTGTTGTAAAAGGCACCGTGCGCGGTCGTCCCACGGTACCACTTAAAGACTGACAGGCTGCGTTTACATGTTCAGCAACTGCAACGTATTCGGGATGCTTGCATCTGATATGCGTTTTGACTCGATCAAAGGAGGAAGCCCACAGATTACACAAGGCACAGTGATTGCGCATTTTGTCTATGGGCGGATCCTTGGTGAGTCCGCGCCAGCCCTGCTCAGCAAGAACTGTCTGTGCCTCAGCGTCTTCAGTCAAGGCACCAGAACCAATGTCAGCCCCTTTGCCCATTTTGAGAACTGGACATTGTGCAATGTGCACAGCAAAGCATGGCCAGGTCGTGAGTTCCTTAAGGCAATGTCTGCATTTTGGTAAACCATCCACCGCATGTTCAACTGGATATTGCTTGGTGTCCGTCTGCTCTTGTTCAGGTACAACTCCATGTTGTTTTCTCCGATGTGTCGCTAAGCCTAGATGATTGGCGTGTCCAAGTCCACACTCTGGACAGACGCAAGCCTGCGCAATTGCCTGTGTGATTTCTACCAATCTCACCGCATCTGCAGGATTGCCTGCTGGACCAACCTGCACCGATGGGTTGTGCGCATTGCGTACGCCAGCTGTTTGCTGATGGGACACAAGTTGTGAAAGCACAATCTCCCGCCATTGCCGCACTCGCTCAATATCAAGATCAGAGCTTTGATACACCACAGTGGCCTTGTCATGTCGTTGGACCATCTCTTTCTGCAACATCTGCGTGGGCTGAATCTGAAGCTCGGTAAAATGTTCTGCGTTTGTATTACGAATGAGATGTACTGGCTGATTGGATATGGCGCGGAGGTTTTTGTGCAAGATCTCAGAGAGGTTTCGTTTGTTGTACATGACGAGACGGGCGAGCCTGTCATCTGGAAAGAAGTGTGTGCCATTGCTCCCGTGACTCAGCCCTTGTTGTGCAAAGGCAAGCTCATGCGTTCAGGTTGGTGGCCGCAACGGGAGCCCTACATGTGCATGGAGCATGACAGTGGAGTAAGAGTCGAGCTTCCGAGGGAACTCGCTGTGTGTGCGTGCGTCCATCTTTCGTGTTGGTGGGCAAGAGGTTACTCCAGCCCCGCGTCCTGAGGACAATCAAGTCAGGTTCGTGCAAGCTCAGGTGGATGCCAGCAGGGCAGAGGCAACATATGGGTGGCAAATGACCGAACAAGGCCAGATGCTGTATCGGGGTCGAGGAAAGCACTTCGTTGATCCTTCGCTTGTTGCACCCATTGGTCACCACGCTTGTAAGGCCATGCAGAACAGGCCAAACTGAGTGGCTGTTGCTTGAGTTCTGTTGCGCGTGGGGGGAACTGGGTGATCCGGCGGCTGAGCTTCCTAATGGCGAGTGTGAAATCATTTGCGTGTTGAGCTCTGGACATGAAGCCCCGGAAGACATGAAGTTTGTCCCGAATCGACAGCTTGATCACTTCATCAACTGGAGTGGTCTGCAACCACATGTCGATCCAGATCTTGAGGGATCCGACTTTGAGATGAGTGTGTTGGGCCCCGATGATGCCGAGCCTGAAACGGTTTCTGTTGAACCATCGAATGAGCCCATTACCTGATGTTGAAGTGATCCCGGTTGAGTCTGAGGAGGCACGAGGTGGCCGAAGTACGCTTGTGTTTGATGGTGTCGTTGCACGCACACTGCCAAATTCCCTTGAAAGAAGAAGAAGGTGTCGAGCTGTCGTTGCAGTCAACCTTGTCTGCCATCCGGGCAGCCTGCAAGTCCGCCGGTGTCTCTGTCTCAGGCAGCAA